ACAGCAGGCCAAAGGCCCACAGCCTCAAACAGCTGCTGTGAACTGTTTGTGCTTTGTAGCAAGTTTCACTGGGGGCTTGTGCTGGAATTAATTCCTTTATTTGATTCCTTGCAGTATAAAGTGAGCAGAATCAGTTAGTTGGTGTTTGTTCTCTTGGTGCTTGCCTCGTTTGTAAGGTTCAAAGGTAAAGTTGTGTGGAAGAAGCAAGTTTTGCCCTCCCTGCCGTCGCTTTCCCAAATGAGGCAAGTCTCCTGAAGCTAGATGGTGAAGCAGTAATTTAAAGACCACTGAATGGCTTTGACCCCCCCTTCCTCACCCCTGAACATTGTCCACTCAGCAGGCTGGCTAGTGCTCAGTAGTCAGCAGCATAGCCTGTATATTCAGAAGGCCTGAGTCAGTCCCTCTGTCCCTCTAAATGATAATGAAATTAAAAAATAACACTGAAAATTAGTAGTATAACATGATATTGTGGGAGTGGTTTTTCTGTCTCCTCTCTCGCTTTTTTCCCTTAAAAATGCTCCTGCTCTCCAGAGCATGTGTCTGTGAGACATCATATACTACTTTCCAAAATTTCAAGTTACCAACTTAGTTTGGACTCTAGTGCAGGTCATCTGGCTTTCATAGCTGCCTGGCAATTTGACTCTTCCAACAACCCCCAAAGAAGTCTTGTCCTACACACCCCCTCACTACTTGCAAGTTTTCATGTCCTCTGCTTAACATACAAATAATACCAGCTCTAGTCATCAGGTGGGTCTCAGGGTCTTCAGCTCTTCTCTGGTTTCATAATGCAGGAGCATGTTCTTTCTTTCCTCTTACTGGTTTTAAGTTGGAGGTGAGAACCAGGTTATACAGAGCAGATAAGGAATATGAAGGAGAAAGAAGAACTGCTGGGCTCTTTCTATGTTTTTTGTCCCCCTTCTATGGTTGCCTGCAAAAAATATGTTGTATCTTAGTTTGGTTCAGCCCATTTGGTTTCCTGCTACTCCCCCAAAACAGGGAGGTAGGAAAAGAAGTTGGTTTCCACTGTGTCCCCATTCCCTTGTTTTCAGTACAGTGGTGTTTTGTGGTACCTGTAAAGTAGCGCCAACCTCAAGCAAAATCACATACTTGTGGAGATGCCCTCTGAGTAGGCAGGATGGCAATACCAGTACTGGTACTAACTTCTTAGCTGATGCTTTGCATCTCTGTCCAGTCCTAATAATGACCCCTGCTTTTAGTTACAGGGAGGAGTTGAGAGAGTAGGACTTGGAGCAAGCCAAGCTTTGTGGTGATTGTAGAGACTGTCACTGGTATCTGGTACAGCCAATGCCTTGCTCTGGTGAACTCTAGTGTTTGAACGTGTGGGTGGGAATGGATTTGTAAGGGTTTTGTGTGTCCTGTTTCAGTGGTGCATTGTTTTTTTCTTTTTTATTTGCCCAGTTTGTAAAACCAGAGTGGCCCATGGAACCAACTCTCATGAGGTGAGTTAAAAAACTTTTGCAATGTTATCCCTCTGCTTCCAGTCCCCCCATGGTGGTTTGGCTGGTGCTTTCCAATCCTGTAGTAGGCAGAATGAGGGCTATACCCAAATGACTTCATTTCCCCTGCCTCTCCCTCATGTTTAATTACACCAGTATTTTTTCAGATTTATCTGAAATGGAGTTAAATATGATGTTAACCTCTTGACATGGAAGTTCTTCGTAGCTGTTTCTAGATTCTATCACCCACGTGCTTCTAGCATTTTGTAGTGTCCAGTCAGCTCTGTCTGCAGGTAATCTCCTTCAGCCTGTCCTTTGGTGGGAGGTCACACTACGTGATGTTTCCACCCCACCATGTTTCTCCTCCAACATGTATTGGTACAGGTGAGAAATGGTTTTGTGCTGCAGATGAAGCAGCTGGTTCCTCATCTTGAGGGGAATGAAGTAGCAAATAGAGATGGTTTCCAGGCATGTTCACTTCTAATAACACAGTTGGAGCTGTGGGGAGAACAGGGCTGGTAGAACTCTCTGCGTTCCCTCTTTCCCGTAAGACAATTGCACTTAAAATGGTTGTGTATTCCTGGAAGGAGCGCATTCCCTATGAGCCTAGATTCCTCTAAATTTAGGCGAATTCTGTTTTAATTCTTTTCCATTTGTGCTTCCTGCCTTCCTGCTTACTGCAGCTCAGTTTTGAGAAACCAGCCCTCACTGCTGGCTCTCCTAATGCCTGGCTTCCTTTGTTAACAACGTGGTCAGCATTCCAGGTTCCCCAGCTGCTCCTGAAACATGCAGTATGTTGCTGTATGCATCTCTATGAGAGCTGAAGGCCCTAAGTAAAGTGTCAATCTAGATGAGCAGAATGGCTATGGCTGAAATCTTGAGTAACCACCACTTCCTTTTAAAAACGCAGTGAGATTTTTCATGCAGGCCTTAGCTTGGATCATTTTACAAGCCAGCAGACAGTCCTGTTAGTTTGCTGGAGCAGCCACTATAAAATTTTTGCTATTATTCCGGAGAACACTTGGGGACTGGATTGTTCATGAATTTAAGACTCTAGCTTCCCTGCTGATTTTTCTGTCAAGAATTCCTCTGCAAATGCAACCTGAAATCCATGAACCTTTCTGTGCTTGTCCAGTCAGGCTTGGACTTCCCCTTTCCCTGGTGAATCTTTCTTTGCTCTTCTTTCCTACAGTGCAGACATACCTCAGCCTCCTGCCAGAGTTCCATTTTCTGAGCAAAAATTAGACTAAAATATGGTTGCGGGCTGCGCTTTATCACAGCAGCTTATGAGTAGAGCCTAGGAGGACCCTGGAAAAAAGCCTGAAGTCTTGCATGGTACTTCACATAGTTAGTAGTAGTAGTCACTTTTGGAGTTGCTGAGTTCTCAGGAGTGATCCAAAAGTGCATTTATGATCAGAGAGGAACTGTCTCATAATTGCTATCTTACGGTCAGTAGTGGCAAGGGAAGCGCAGAAGGAAAACTCTGCTTACAGTACAGTCTGTCTAAAAGATGGAGCATAGGTCTAGAAGCAAGAAATTGTTGCCTCTTGCATTAATGACTCCTTCTCTGGCTTTTGGTAAATCACTTCATTTTCTGTAGAGATATTCCCACTGCAGAGCTGACACTGGAACTAGAACACAGCCTGAGTAGAAACCTGCTTTTCTTCATAAGGTGACTATTCAGAAAGTTCAAGTACTGGCTAACAGGGAGAGCTGAAGGTGCAGGCTTGAGTTTGGATTTGGGCCTGCCAAGGCTGGCAGACTCCACATTTTTCAGTGAAAACATGAGCTAGTTAAGCCAAGGTGCTGTTAGTTAGAATTCTTGTGGTGTCCCACAGTTCTACATGGCCTCTGCATTAGAAGTTGCGTCGACCAGCTCAGCGCTTGAACCCCACTTTGCCAGCACTGTTTTTTAGACTTGAACAGAGATGATGCTTAAAAGTTGTCCTTCCTGGCTGCCAGCAGGTCAGAACATAACTGATCTTTGGTAGAGCTGCCATGAGACATCACTGAGACCCATAACCTGAAGAAATGTGTCCAGAATGACTCTTTTTCAAAGTGTTGAGCAGACAGGAATGAAAAGGTAGAGAATCACTGTGTTATTTGAGACTGAATTCCTTAAGGACGTTGTCAGTAAAAACTCTTGGTGCCAAATGTTTTTCTCTTCAAACGACCTCTGCATTTATAATGAGGAATGCTATTTGGAAATGATGATATAAAGTATTGTTCCCATGTTACTGCCAGACACAGCAGGTCTGTGCTAGATGAAAAAGAGCAAGTGCACCCTGCAAGCAAATTCTTGGATCTGTAATCATGCATGCTAAAAACCATGAGACATGGCAGTGAACCAGCATAACGCAACACCATGGGTTGTGTGCTAGTCCTTGGGGCTGTCAGCACAGAGCTTTGCAGAAGAGACATTTCACATGGTTTCCAGTAGCCTAGGTCAGTTCTGTGCTGAGAAGACAAACTCTCTGGGTTTTCATACTTCTAAAATAGGATGATAAGTACCTGCTCATCTTATATTTGTTTGTGTGGATTAACTAATGAATATTTGAAGAGGACACTATAGGATCAGCGCAGTTCTTGCCAGTATGATGTTGTACATACTATATTGACAACAGTCTACACAGGAGGAGTAAGAGACCAGTGTTTCTTGCCACCAGTGAGAGACAAATGAGGTATGATGTTGTTGCCGTGAATCATCTTGATGGACAATTCTGCTGGTTAGAGTAGGTTTCTTGCACAGGTTGTTACCACTCAAAAATTCACTCTGTGCTGCCAGACAGCAGATAGATAGCATCTTGTATAATAGAGACGGAGTAAGAATATCAGCTGCAGGTAGGTATTGAATGCACGCATTGACTTGAACTCAGAGAATGTTAATCTACTGAGTCATTGTGCATGCGTGCAGACAATTATGTGATCTGATGTGGTCTACCAGATAAGGAGGAATAAAGACAAAGATGTTCTCAGACTTTTAACTATGAATATTTAATCACTATATCATTTGCCATGGCTATGTTTTTGAACAACAAAACCTGTTATATTTACTATTTTTATTACAGGGACCAACTAAGGTATTAGAAAAAATCCAGTCTGAAAGTACAGCATACATCAAATGAGCAGCTGATCATATACAATATATGAGAGAAAGCACAAAGTGGTAAAGTTTCCTTGTAAAATCCTTCCAGTGACCCTGACTTCACTAAGATACAGCTAATCCCAGAAAGCACGAAAGCTTACAGGAAGCATTTGGAAAGCGCAAGCAAGCAGTGTAACTCATCTGCACCATGCTGAGGCAGGAAGCTCCAATTTTATTCAGTATGTCACTGTGAAGTCATTGTGGGACCCAGAGGAATTCTCTTAGCCTCTCTGAGCTGTCCTGTGCCCTGAGTAAAACAGTAGGCCCAAGCAGGCCAGTGAGAAAATATTAACAGGCATTAAAAACCCCCTGTGTTTCAGAGCTTAGGAACTTTTCTGGTAAGCCTTGTGTGTCCTGCACTGACTGAGGTGGCGGCAGGCTCAAGGCTTGGATGCTTAGCTGTTGTCTTCAAGGTTCTTCAGAGGGGGAAGGTGCTCTAACCAAAGCGTCTGTACCTGTGGGAGAGAGTTTTGCCCAGAGGAAAGGAAAATAAAATGTATGTCAGGTTCTCTGGCCTTGAACAGTCTTTACTTGCATTCATCTGACTACCAACATGCCCTACTGCCACTGCGGGTGACAGGGCCCAGCATCACTGCAGTAATGAAGAGAGGTCAGTATTCAGATAACTAGAGCATAACTTTTTCAGGGCTTTGAGGATGGGGAACAAACCAAAGTTTATTCTCACTGCTGTGAGGATAGGGGCACCCTGGTAATTTCATCACCTGTGCCAGAGCTGTGCTTGCTGCTGGTTCTGCGTAAGAGCCATGGCAGCATCCATACTCCAACAACAAACCTGCAAAAGGGGGCATCGCAGTTATGATAATTATATATGCCTGTAAGCATGGTAATGGAGGGATCGATGGGAAGAGCAGTGCAAGATGTGCTAAAGATATGCTGGCTTGTCAGAGTACTTCTGTGCACCTACCAGCATCTCTTCTGTGCTGTTTGAGGCTGCTGTTGTTCGTCACTCAGGCCCTGTAAATGCCTTCCTTTTGGGCATATTTGTTCCAGTCCCTTCAAGAAGGCTATGAAACCAAACCAAGGAAATCATTAGACTGGCCTGTGCTAGCAGTAAGAATTGTTAGAGTCTGAAAAAAGTTCTCTGATGATGTGGGTGAAACCCTGGTGCTTAGGCCATTGCAACTGGACGGAACCAAACCACAGGAAATAGAGCTGTGGGGAAGAATTCTTATAGTTAGTACACAGAGCTGTTCCTTCAGTTCTCATGATACATGCTTGTATTCAATACAAACTTCATCATCTGTGTTGGTCAAATGTTTTACTCTTTTATTATACCTGCAGTTGCAGTTGCAGTAGCTTCCTAACTAAAAGCAGCAAATGAAATTGCAAAGAGCTGAGAAGAAAATGTTGATTGAAAATGAAAGCTGCACTGCCAGTAGTGTTTGGAGAGTTGTGTGTCAGTGAAAAGAAACCTAATGAAATAGGACTAGCTGCTGAGAAGGAATTCACACGTGGTCAATATATATCCACCAGTAGATGTTCTCCCTCACTGCTAGTCAGGTGGTGGGTAAGCATGAAATTATTGAAAGACTTGTGCACAACTGTGTGTAGGGCTCTGCAGAGGGATCTCGAAAGGCTGGATCGATGGGCAGAGGCCAACTGTATGAGGTTTAATAAGGCCAAGTGCCGGGTCCTGCACTTCGGTCACAACAACCCCATGCAATGCTACAGGCTTGGGGAAGAGTGGCTGGAGAGCTGCCCGGCGGAAAGGGACCTGGGGGTGCTGGTTGACAGCCGGCTGAACATGAGCCGGAAGTGTGCCCAGGTGGCCAAGAAGGCCAACAGCATCCTGGCCTGTATCAGCAATAGTGTGGCCAGCAGGAGTAGGGAAGTGATTGAGCCCCTGTACACAGGTGCACTGGTGAGGCCGCAGCTTGAATCCTGTGTTCAGTTTTGGGCCCCTCACTACAGGAAGGATGCTGAGGTGCTCAAGCATGTCCAAAGAAGGGCAACGAAGCTGGTGAGGGGTCTGGAGCACAAGTCTTATGAGGAGCGGCTGAGGGAACTGGCGTTGTTTAGTCTGGAGAAGAGGAGGCTGAGGGGAGACCTCATCACTCTCTACAACTACCTGAAAGGGGGTTGTGGTGAGGTGGGTGTTGGTCTTTTCCCCCCAGTAACTAGCGACAGGACGAGAGGAAATGTCCTCAAGTTGTGCCAGGGGAGGTTTAGATTGGATATTAGGGAAAATCTCTTCACCGAGAGGGTGGTCAATCATTGGAACAGGCTGCCCAGGGAGGTGGTGGAGTCACCATCACTGGAAGTGTTCAAAAAACTTGGAGACGGGGCGCTTCGGGACATGGTTTAGGGGGCATGGTGGCGTTGGGTTAACGGTTGGACTTGATGGTCTTGAAAGTCCTTTCCAGCTTTAGTGATTCTGTGTGATTCTGTGTACGTGTTTCCAGATGGCGATCATCTTCAACCAGGAGGGCCTGAAAGCTGTTCGCCCCCCTTGTGTCATTCAGAGCTTCATCAATCACAATGCTGTGCTGTATAAAGTCTTTGTGGTTGGGGAGTCCTACACAGTGGTAAAAAGACCATCTCTAAAGAACTTCTCTGCAGGAATCTCAGGTACGTTGTGCCAATTTAAATGGAAATGTCAGTTCTTGAAGCCCTGGCAGCAAACAGCTCAAAAGAAAAATGTCTTTGAAATGGCTGCTGAAGTGAAGGCAGCTGGTTCTTACATACCATGTTTCCTCTTCTGTATTATTTCAATAGGAAGGGAGATTACACATCTGCTCTGGAATAAGTACGAATGACATTTGTATAGTAAATATTTATGCAATGGTAACCTGAGTCTTACCTGCTAGAAACAGTGTTTTATGTCATTTGGAGAGGGGGAGAGGGAGAGAAATTCTCTCATTTCACAGTAAGTTCATGTGTCATTTGTTCCGGAGTTTGTTTATAAATGTGCTTTGGAGAGAATTTCCTGGATTCCATCATTTCAGAACTTCCTCTCCTTATTTTTACCTTGATTATGTATGTGTGTTTAAATTAAAGATTACTTGTGCTCTCCCCTAAACAAACCTCTCTGTTCATGTGAGGCCCAGTGTTGGTGGGAAGTGTCCTTTGGTTTGTAGATACCAGCTGTGTTGGAGGGAAGGAGGAATGGATTTGTCAGTGAAGACAGTGATCCTCCTGTATGTGACTAGAAAGCAGAACTTGAAAGGTTTTCCATCAAAGATTACTTAAATTTCCGTTATGGGAAAAAAGCTCCTTTCCAGACAACTGCATTCTGTGACCCATCAGAAGCAAAAAGGAACTAGCAGCAGGTGGATGGGAGCATGATCTACCTGCAACTGGACAAATCCAGGAGGTGGGGATGGGAGGAGAGAAGGTATCAGACTAAAGGAGATGAATGAACAAGTGCCAGTTTCTTGACACTTCTCCTAGTGGTTTCTGCTGATCTTAGCATGTCCATGTATGCTCACCATTGCATTCTGCATGGAAATACGTATTTTCTTAGTGTATGTATAGTAGGATCCTGGTAAAAGTCCTTGTCTGTAGCTATGTATGTCTGTATTTACGTTTAGGTCTGCTCTATGTCCTGATCAAACTAAGCAGGCCAGAATCTGTGTTCATATAAACTATTAGGACAGTTGGGCTATACCGCTGGAAGGGAAAGTTTTAAGGTGTCTTTCTAAAAAGGCCGTAGCTAATGTCTCATCTGTTAGTGTAGGACTCAAAAGTTGTCTGGAAGCCCACATAAAATAAATTTTGTGGGCAGATGAGGATAAAGTGTCTGGCTTTCTTACCCTCATCAGGAGAGTTTAAGGGGGTCATGCCACAGGCACCTGTCTAGGCAGATCTGACGATTAAGCAGATCTGGTGGCTGTGAGGCACTCCAGGAGCTGACTGTGTAAAAGTACAGGGCCTTTCTGAATGGGAGGCAAGGGAAGAAGAGTATGTGGTGGTGTCAGACTGCAGAGTGGGTTTGGGTTTGCTTTTCACAGCTCCCCCCATCTTTATTCTATGTGTCCCTGTGGCTGGTCTTAAATGTCCACTCAGAGAGACCAGAATAGCAGAAATACTGTCTTGCTGGTACTACCTGCATGCTGAGACTTTGGTCCGTGTGTTCCCATGCAGGTTGTCTGTACGATGCCATCAGTCTGCTGTGGTGGGAATCCCAAGAGGAGACTTCTTGTGGTGGATTTTTCCCCACCACTGAAACCTGCAGCATAGAGGGTGTGGGGCAGGAGGTGCTCCCCAGGGTTTCCACTGTAGTATGTTAGTGGCTTCTGCCTTCCCCAGGTTCACGGGGATCTCAGTGTACCCTGGGTGCTATCGATCTATTGCCTGCGGTGAATGCAGCTTCTCCTTTTATCACATGCCTTCCCATTGGAACTGTTGCTTTGAGTATGGCAAATTTGTAGAAATGAATTTCATTATCTTACTGAACTTCGTTAATTGGCCTTGGTGAAGGAAAGGAAACCTATTTTTTATTAACCCTGTGCATTTCTATTTAGCTATGGTCCAAAAACAGTGAGTGACCTGGCCGTGGGTCCCTGCCTGTGCAGGCAGCTAAGTGCCAGGCCGGAGAGGTCCTGTGGGTGGGGTGGGTGGCAGGGGACTGCCTGGTAGGGATCAAGACTAGATTGACAGGGCTGCAGTGCCATCTACTGTTCCTTGCACTAATCCTTTGGAAATGAAAATCTGGTATAAAGTTACTTACAACCTGCTTTTCGTTCCAGACAGAGAATCAATATTTTTCAACAGCCACAATGTTTCAAAACCAGAATCCTCATCTGTCTTAACAGCAGTAAGTACACTTGGTCTTTTTTCCTCTAGCGCGGCTGGAAAGCTATCTAGTCCTTTCTTATCGAAGCATTAGCTAGTGACTCTCCTTCACAAGTTGTCTGCTTCTGTGTTGCAGGCTGAGGTCTGTTTGGTACAACGAACCAGCATGACTGTGTCCCCCTCTGGTTTTCCTTACCGAGCTCCGGTGAGGAAGCACTGATGCAGCAGGGCTGCGCTGCTTGCCAGACCTAAACTCCCCAGAGCTAATCTAGGCAAAGGGAAAAGGGAGGTTCTGAATGCAAATACCTGGCCTTTTCCTGTCCAGAGAGCTTAATAAGCATAAATCATCCTTCTAGGACTCAGTTCTGTGAGGAAAGACAAAAGGTGAAAATTCAAGCAGAGCAATTGCATTTGGAGAGGGCCACAGAGGGCCAGTAGCGGTCTGCGGTGTGAGCACGCCCAAGCGCTATGACCACAGAGCCATTTCTGGGTGTCTTCCGAGTCCAGCAGTGCCAGCACGCTGCACAGTTTCATGCTTGCATTACCAGTCCTTTTAATAAGCTTTGCACGTATGAATCCTAACAAGTTCTCGGGCACTTGACTGCTGAGAAGGTCACTTTACAGGACTGGGTCCTTTCAATCTCTGAGTCTCCAGATTCTTTTCTGTTTCACAAGCTCTACTGGGGAGTAGTTTCATAGGGGGCAATGATTAAATTTTAAGTTGTGTGGAACACTGATAGGCATGCTAAATACTAAAACGGTAGTTGTGCTAGTCATGAATCCATTTATGGCTAAATATACTTTCAAACTTGAGTATATGCACCTGTGGTTTACCTGCCATCTCTATCATACACGTACACACTTCATACACACTTCTGTAGGCATAATGGCATATTTCTGCTGCATCACATGTTGTTTAAAAAGTGAAGAAAATCAACATCTTCCACTCATAAGTAACCTGAGTTACTTATTGTAATAAATATTTATAGAATTAGTTATACATGAAAACCCACATAAAAGATATGCCCATTGAAGTAGTCTCTGCCCTGAAGATACCAGCTGAGTTGTATCGTGTGGCTCAGATTAAACTAGCAGCTGGAGTCTGTCCTATCATCTCTGTAACATAGGCCTTAATCTACATTGAAATAACAGAATGATATCCAGAATATTTGCAGCACAGGGTTAAACAGGCCAGCTGTATATGGTTTTTCAAGGTGGATTTAGTTCTTAAAATAGTGAGTCTGATTTGTTAAACATGCCAGCTGTATATGGTTTTTCAAGGTGTAGATTTAGTTCTTAAAATAGTGAGTCTGATTTTCCATTCATTCCTACACTGCTCTGTCTCTCGAGGAGCTGCACCAGTATGAAGATGAAGAACTAGGTGCTTTAGAGCAGGTGAACTTCCAATATAGGAAGAATTCTGAATTATGAAAGCAGTTTCTCTTTGGTGTCTTTCTCTGTTTCATGCCACTGGTTCTCTGCAATTAGATTTGGTGGATATGCACCTGGCAACCTCTGAAAATCAAACTTTCCACTAAAAAGACTGTTTCAGAGTCCCTTATAATGTGTCTTTTTCCACTATAGCTGGATAAAATCGAAGGAGTATTTGAGCGGCCAAACGATGACGTCATCCGGGAAATCTCTAAGGCACTGCGGCAAGCTCTGGGAGTTTCCCTCTTTGGAATTGATATCATCATTAACAATCAGACTGGGCAGCATGCGGTCATTGATATAAATGCATTCCCAGGTGAGAAAGGCCTTTCCACTCATGCTTTGTGGAAACTGTGCAGTGGGTGCTTAGTGTGAAGTTTTACTGCTGGTGTAATCGTTATTTCTCAGGTGGGGGACAGGAGAACAGCAGCCAAATCGTTCAGACATCAGATACTGTTCAATCTGGGAAGGGCAGAACTCAAATGTAGATATGGAATGTGCTACTGGAATACCAGCACTTAGGAGTTACGGTCAAATTTTAGTGGCCAGCTGTAACACAGCTGACATGCCCTTCCTTGCAAAGGGGTGCCCAGGAACTGAAGCCTGGGACTGTGTGCTGGGAGCTGGCCTTCCTGGGCCTGTGCCTCATTCTGAAGATGAAAGGAACTATTTTAGGAGAGCCTTTTAAGATTTCTTTTTTCCAGACTCTGTGCCATTAAAAGTGTTGAGGGGGTGGAAGCAGCAAACTGTTCCCTTGAAAATCTCTTCCTGTGCAAATTGATTCCCCGTGAAAAGACATTTGTGCACAAAAGCAACAACACCAGGAATCTGAAGAAGATAATAAAATTGTAGGTGCACAAAGTTGCTGTAAGGAGTTAAATATTCTTGCAGGTTTTCATAAATGCGTCCTGAAGTAAGACAATAGAATAGAACTTGTGAAAATAGGTGATTTTGTGCTCCACTTTTTATAGTGCAACATATGTCTTGGAAACAACTAAACAAGCTCCTTGACCACTGGAATTGTTAAAAGGAGTTGTATGTGTCTGTCGGGGGGGCAGTAATGGTCTGTCACTTGTGCTAAATTCAGTAGGCTAACACAGGAAAAAAATACATCGTCTCATTTGATGCTGTTTTGCGTAGCGTTTTTCTCTTTGAGAATCTCTTCTCGTTACCTGAATAGTGATGTTTGTTTCCAGAGACGCAGCCTGCTACATGGTTTGTTTAACCTGTCATTGAAGACATTGAGTTTTCAATATGGCTGAGGTATCTTCACATGTAGCGATCTTGCCCTTCTTGCCCTGAGCCCCCACTCATCTTAATCTTTGAATTCAGGCCCTGAATCCCACTGCTGCCCTGCAGTGCCTTGCCTGTCTATCTCCGCAGTGAGTGGCTTCCTTTTCAAAGTCCAGCCCTGCTATTCTCAGGTCATGTTGCAGCTTGGTTCTACTGTATGTTGTTGATGCAATCTGCAGACCTATGAAAACAGTCTTCTGCCAAGGGCAGTGAAACAACTTAAATTGGGTGTCAGATGGAGCCATATCAGTTTTATGAATAGGATTATATTTCAGACACTGGGTCTTGAAGTCAGTGATGCAGGACATTCTTTTGCAATCCTGCATCCTGCATTTTGGTTTGATGTTTTGGCTTTTTGGTTTTTCAAGTATTGTTTAGGATTTGGTACTTTGTACAGACTGAAATTCCCCTTTTCTTGAAATGTTGAAAAGTCCAGATTGGGGAACAACTAGTGGCAAACTTAACGATTAAAGAGGAGTAATGTCTTCTTGTTGTGGCAGAAGTTTGCAGAACTGCCTTCAGCCTTGTGCTCTGCTGTACTTCTACCCCAAGGCAATAGTTTTTGATATTCAGCCCAAGTCCATTGTTTCAGTCTGCACAGTAATTGGTCTTTGAAGAGACATTGAATTAATAGAGTGTTTCTGTCGTGGTTTAGCCCCAGCTGGCAACAAGCCAGCCGCTCGCTCACTCCCCCACGGTGGGACGGGGGAGAGAATCAGAAGGGTAAAAGTGAGGAAACTCATGGTTTGAGATAAAGACAGTTTAATAAGTAAAGCAAAAGCCGCGCACGCAAGCAGAGCAAAACAAGGAATTTGTTCACTACTCCCCATGGGCAGGCAGGCGTTCAGCCATCTCCAGGGAAGCAGGGCTCCATCACGCGTAATGGTTTCTTGGGAAGACAGACGTCATCACTCTGAACGTCCCTCCTCCCCTTCCTTCTTCTTTGTCCCAGCTTTATATACCGAGCATGACGTTATATGGTATGGAATATCTCTTTGGCCAGCCTGGGTCAGCTGTCCCAGCTGTGTCCCCTCCCAGCTTCCTGTGCACCCCCAGCCTGCTCGCTGCAGGCCAGCAGGAGAAGCTGGACTGTCCTTGACTACTTACCAACAACTCAAAACATCGGCGCCTTATCAACATTTTCTCGTCCCAAATCCAAAACATAGCCTCACGCTAGCTTCTGTGAAGAAAATTAACTCTACCCTGGCTGAAACCAGGACAGTTTCAGTCCTTGCAGGAGGCTTGAGAGCACGGGGAGGCTTCTTATGCACAGGTCTACATTGTGTCTCACATGGGATTTTTTTGGTGGTAAAGATGGCTACTAGCTTTATCACCATGGGATGTGTTGAAGACCAGTTGGAGAAAGTCTAGAGCAGTCTTGCAGCCAGGACCAGACATGTGTAAGAGAAAAGTCTGGAGGTAGACAAAACTACCTTCAAATTTGTAATAGGTAGCAGAACTGAGGAAAATGAGCTATTCTCAAGGGCTGCTGAAGTTGGAGAAAAAGCAATGGGGTAAAATACAACAGAAGAAAAGTTACATCTCAACACAGAATATTCTGTTGCCTGAGAGCATGTTCAGCCCAGGCAGCTGCATTTTCCTCCAAGGGCCAGTATGATTAAAGGCTGAGCAGCTTCAAGGGCTGGCTTGATTGATTGATGGAGCCAGCACCTTGCTAATGAGAAGTTCCAATTCATCCCTTCTCAAAAGACTCACTGATGGACTGCATCAGCAGTGGGATCTCACTGTTCCTGGCTCAGTGCAGTCCCAGGAAGGGGTTTTCATTTGCTCCTCTTCCTCAAGTCAATCCTATCCTGCAAGTGTTGCAGTAGAGCCAAGCTGGAGCCAAGTTAGATGCTTCAGGGACCTGCCACATTATCTCTGCACCACTGCTTTGAGGAAGAAAGGGGAAGAGGTGCCCTTTAAGGAGCATTCATAGCCTGTTTTCATGGAGCTCAAGCCTCGGCTTGGGGCCAGGCCTGACCAAAGCCTTGTCCAACTGCCCAGAGACTTGGCTTCCGTGTGTGCTGCCTTTTGTGTTTACCAGGCTTGAAGCTCATTTGAACCTGCCTCTCCATGGATGTCATCTTGAGATTTGTTTAACATCAGAATTGAAAGCAGATGTACCTGTAGGAGGATGTCATCTGTTATCTGTTCCATTAGCACCAGCAACTCTTCAAAAAGATTTTAAAGATAAATGTCTAAAAGGCCTATTGTGTCTCCTGTTCTATGGGAAACCACCAGGACTATATTTAGCAGTGGTTACCAGCTGAGATATTTAACTGTAGGCACAGTCACGTAGCATGTGGGTTTTTTGTTTATCTAACCTCAGGTAACTGAGAGAAAAGGCTCCGCGTAGCCTGCTGTCCTGTGGCCATGGCCGAGCTCACTCAGCCCGAGCAGCAGCTTGTGCGCACGTTCTGCAGCCTGTCACCAGTATAGGTGAACTGCTGCTTCTGTGCGCCTGTGTGTGGTAGCTGGAAGCATCAGATCTGAACGTGCACTTTATGTGTGTAAATATGCTGCTGCAAATGCAGAACACAGGCTGTCCATTTCCCTCTGCCCAGGGGAAGATGCAGAGAGTGTGCCAGATCAGGGAGAGTCTCCTCAAAATCAGGCAGGTAGCATCTCTAATGCTAGCTTAAAAATGCTCGCAGGCATTTCTTGACTCCACAAAGCGCAGGGGGCAGGTATTTGTTTTCAGATGCATTGCTGGTTGGACATCCTTCCTATCCATGCTCATCCAGAGGACTCTCGAGACTGTTTTCAACAGAGCAAAATTCAGGCCTCTGGTAGACAGGCATTTCCAAAATGGTTTCAGTGGCCAGTGCTACGATAGTACCTGCTGGATCACAATTCCTGCAACTTGTGCTCTGAGGCATGCAAAACTTAAATCCTCCCACTGATTCCTTGTGTGACATGAACCCCAAATTAATTGACAGTAGTTTCTGAAGGTGTAATTTAATCTGCCCTTCTTGATTTTGTTACCATCAGAGCACAGTGATGTCCCACAGTTGCTTTTTTGAAAAGCCTACAGCAGCAGCCAGTGAACAGAGTGAGGCAATATCCACCAAGGTTGCAGTCTTCCCCAGGCATCCTGTGGCTCAAGAGTTGAGACACCCTGGTTCTCTTCCTCCCTTCCTTGTACGTCTTTTTTTACAAGTGTATGAAGTTTCTTCTGAGTGACCAGGCAGAATTACTTGGGCCCTTCCACCTAGTGTGCAGATAACTTGCACAGAGGAAGCCTGCCTGATATCTACAGCTTCCTTACACTGTAACATCTGCTGATTTTAGGACTGAATAACTGGCCATCTTATTTCCATTAAATATTTAAAGCAACTTCTTTGTGAGTTTACCAGGTGCCCTCAAACAAGGCTAGTTTGTTTTCTGTGAGCAGACATGAAACACTCTAGAGTACTATGGATCTCCTCTCTGAATATTAAAGCTGTTACTATGGAGATGGCTTATTCCCAGGGTGTTTGAAGCACTCTGAGTAGATTTGAAGGCTAATCCCATGGCTTTTACATAAGCAAGAAAGCGTAACAAGCATTGCTGTCAAAGAGGTGGAGATCTTGTTCTGGCTCCCATCACCGTCCGCAGGAGTCCTAGTTGCCCCCTGCCAACCATTGGATTATCGTGTGGGACACTGGGAAACTTGACGCTTTGAAATGGGCGATTTGTTTGGTGAATCTGTTCAAGGGCCTTTGAGAAAGGAAAACTGGGAGCTGTTGTCTCACATTGCTGCTGTTTTGTGTGATCTGTTAAGTATCTAGGAGAATTGTGACCAGGTGCAATAAAATCCAAAGCAATGTAGCAGCATAAATAAGAGTTAATCAGTTAATGTATGGGCTATAAATGCACCATAAAATCACCACATTTATCTTAAGGTGAAATTACCCTGTTAACCTTATGTTTTTCAGGAAGTTGGGTCTTTATCGCCTAAGGAAGTTGGTCTTTACAGGAGAATGGAGATTAAAATTGAATTATTTATGGATCTGAGGGACTCTTCTGCCCTGTGATCACATCACTAAAATTGATGTTTTAAAATGTGCATTTACTTTGTGGTCTCTGGTTCTGCTCATGTGCTGCTGTGTGAATGTGTGTTATTCACATGGGACTTCTAAACTGTTATTTATTGCTTCAGTCTCCTGTATTAATACCAGATCACCTTCAGATTACTTTTATAGACATTTTAAAACAATCAGCCTATCCCATTAAATACACTGACTGTCAGATGTCACCTCTAAATACTAAATGAAATTGATAACAATTTTAGGTAATGCAGTAGCAGCTAAGACCCATTTCAAGACATTGTACTGATATGTTCCATGTCTGGTTCAATTTTAAAATAAATGCAATGATAAAATTGTGCCTGTACCAGAGTGTTTAAAATAGAGCCAGAAGCTTTGTACACCTGCTGCCACCCTTTCTGTCACCAAAAATGTCATGTCTCCTGATATTTGAGCAACTGTTTTAACCGGGAAACTTGTTCTTATACTCTGCATTGTGAATCGTATGGAATCGCTTAACAGAACATGCAGAAAGGTGGTTTCAGTACTGAAATACAAGATTGATGTGTCTAGCAAATACTGTATCAATGATACATGTTTACTGTCCCTCAAGTGTTTTTTCAGAGACTGCTCATAGCGGGGAACGTGTTTTAAGTGCCAAGTTAGGTTGGATTAGATGAGCATCACATTGCTTCTTGCACAGTGGGAAACTGCCTTTTTTGTAGGGTATAAATCCAGCCCCGCTGTCCTGAGGCTTCCCTGATCGAAGGTATTGCTGGGCAAATTCTAGAGATGGTCCAGGACCTCAGGGAAACTCTGCATTAGAGCTACTTTTTGTAGTAAACCAGGAAACAGGATGGAAAAGATCAATGTTACACCACAGAGTTTGTAACTTAGGGGAAAATCTGGACTTGGCAACGAATGATAGAATGTACCTAAAATTATGTATACACATATATACTTGGGAGAAAAAAGAAAAAGAAAATCTGAAAGGTAACAGTTTTTCTCATTGAACAAAAGTATTTTTGTAGCAAGGGTCTCTGTTCCTCTTTATTGTAATCTGCTCATGAAGTCACTCAAAGTGATGTCATGGAAAAGAAGCCTTTTTATTATCACTTGGAGGGCAAGGACAGCCCAAGAAATAAACTAGTAGAAGCAACCTTTCAAAGAACTTACGAAATTACTTAATTGCCTTTTTTTCTCTCAATTTTTCCTCTTTACAGGTTACGAGGGTGTTTCTGAATTTTTCACAGATCTCCTGAACCACATAGCTGCGGTCCTGCAGGGTCAGGCACCTGAGGTGACCCAGCTAAACCGCAGCAAGCTCCTGGCAGAGCAGACCAGCGGGATCATGGACGAGCGGATATGCTGCGCTAGCACAGGCTGTCTCAGCGTCATGGGAAAAGACTCCTCCTGGATTGTGGAAAGTGAGACCAACAGCTCAGTAAAACTGCAACACCAGAGACTAGGCTGCAACTCGGCAGTGTCCCCCAGCTTCCAGCAGCACTGCGTCGCTACGTTGGCAACAAAAGCTTCTTCTCAATAACTTGCCAATGCCATGGACTGAGAAAAAGCCACAGGGATACAAATTGTGGTCCCAGAACCAGATCAGGCTCTAACGATACAATTGCGAAAAATGAAAAAATAACACAAAACACAACACAAAAAAGTGAAATAAAAAAACCCTTCAATTTGATTTAACCTGATTTGCTGATGAAATGGACTGAAAGGGGGAGGGCAAGAAAGTGATTCAGATCCATTTCATCAGATTCCAGTTGCAAATCTGTAGTGAGTTTACACACACGTGGGTTTTAACACTAGTCCTTTCATTGTGGGAGGGTTGCTCTTTCATTTCTATTGTTCTTTGTAATCACTGGTGACCAGCATTTTAAAATCGGACCTCATGGTATCAAGAAGATAATAATGTTGAAATGCAGTGTCTGAATGTAACAGTGCTAGAGATTTTTGCCTAAAATATTCCCTGTTCCCTTTTTCCAGGTAGGCCATTGCAAAAGAAAGCTAAGACAACTTCAGTATCACTAAACCAAATCTGTTGAAACATTGACCAGTCAAGACATTGACAGGTAGCTTGCTGTGAAGCCGCGGCACCTTGAGTAGCACAGAGGAGCCTGGTTGTTCAGGGTGCAGAACCGAGGTGACCACGCTGGTTCCAGCTTTGCGGCTTTTCCCCCAGGCCTCATTGCTTCAGTCAAAAGCAGCTTCTAACCACGCTTGCCAACAGCGGCACGTTTGATCCAGACAGGGTGCCGATAGTTAGGTTGAGTGATTTAGTAGATTAAATATCATCCTTTCAATTGTCTGCTAGTGGTGAAATCTTAAAGGAGTTAATGGAAGCAGCTCATTCTTAGCAGAGAATTTAATTCTCCCTCCATTGCACCTGTGAGGGCTCTGGGACAGGTCTGCAAAAAGGCTGGCAAACAGAGCTCTGCATTTTCCTTGGAGCAGTGCACCTGATCTGCAGATCCTAAGGGGTAACACAGTTGCTACCTTCTACAGATCCATTCTGCTGTGTGTTTTGTTTTTCTTTTGCAGATTAAATACAAGCAGAATTGTGTACATTTGTATGAGGTAGAAGTACACAACAGCTCTAGCTTAGAGACATTATTTTGTTACAAGCTGCCAGATGAGGCCATGTGGTAACTTACAATAGTGCTTTATACTATTTGTAAACTATAGCATAGCCAAATTGTATCTGTTGAGATACACAGTAAACCTACAGTGTTCACCCTCTTGCATCTTCTGGTGTGCCAGCATCTTCAGCTGTTGAGAATTCCTGCAACTTTTGCCAATTCTGAACACTAAACTGGAAATATCCAAGTCTGTCAGTGCTGAGAACAAGAGACACTATTTTGGTAGACAGAGTGGCCTTCCCTTCCCCATGTAAGCCCTACGATACATTTAAGAGGGGTAGTGTTAAGAAGATTTCCTTAGTTAAGCTCCTAGCTTGCAGATATGGGAATTTCTGTCTTTCTATAGCAGGTATTTGTAAAGCATCCATCACTGCAGCATTTAATACCAGCTTGTTTAGTATCATGTGTTAGATATCTACTCAAAAGGAAAGGATCTAGAGCTTAAAGCCCAGGTAGACCGTGGAGAGAGGAGTAAACTGTGTAAAAGATGTCGCCACCCTACCTGATGATACCAGTCCTGGAGGGGAAAAAGTTCTGAAGAATGTTGGGTAGCAGTTCTTTTGTGTAAGCAATGTTTTTTCCTTAGGACAGATTGTGTTTGTTCCCAAAATGCCATTCTTGGGAATTCCTTTTGCCGGGATCAGATTTTTGAGGATGATTTAAGAAGAGAAGATTATTCCACCTCTAGAGGGGTTACTAACTTTAAGATACTTCTATAGGGACTGGAAGGACCTTATGAGTGTGGTATCTGTCAAATTCCAGGGTGCACATAAATGCAGCCAACTTCCTCGACTATTGCAAGTCAGTTCTGAGCTGGGCATGCTTCACAACCCTTGTATGCTTTGAGGCTGCTGGATCCCACGTTGTCTGCAGCTTGCAGGTCTCGGGTGGTCGTGGTGTGAGTGAGTCAGATGTACATAGGTAAGGGTTTATAAAAGTAGTCATGATAGACCAAACCTTTCATAAAGCCATGACTGAATAAAAATTGACATCTACAGTTTGAGATTTGTTTTTGTTTGTTTAAAATAAGAAGTGTTTTTATGTTACATGTGTAACAAAAGATACCCTCAGGAAGGAACTTGCCAGTGCATATTTTTGTATGGTACTTTCTTGTAACCAGCTGATGGAGTGTTTGTAGACTTGCCTTTTGCTCCCTTTATTACAATGGCTTGGGTTTTTGGGGGTGGGGTGGGTTGGATTTTTGTTTGTTTGTTTTTGGGTTTTTTTTATTGGGTGGTGGGGAGGAAGCAACGATGTTATAACTGGGTTAGTAACTCAAGACCTTTCAATCTGAATATGTTTACATGAATCTGAGTGTTGGATCCAATGGAAATGTCTGTATGCTGTTTCCTAGTTAGAACATCAAATAAGAATTTTATTTTCCTGGCTGCCTTCTGAATTTTGGTTGGCCTATTTTGCACTGCTTTATTTCTCCAAAATAAACTACTGAAATATAATTGTGCATTTTAAACTTGTTTACAAATGATTGTTAGAAGTTTATTTTGTAATTCTCTGAAGGCTTGCAGAAATACTATATTTAAATATTACTCCAGACCTTGCCAGTAACTAGAAAACAAGTTTAGGTCATTGGTGTGATCAGTGACATTTTTCCCATAGTCTGTAATTTATTTTTAATTTATCACATGTATCGGTATCACTTTAATTTACCAGGTGCAACTCTGCAGGTACCTGTTGTGATGTGGCATTACAATAGAGTCTTCACATAAATTACCATGCCATTGCTGTACTACAATATTTCCTTGCAGAAATTATTGTTATGGCTCGTATACTAGAATGTTGCTAAATCACAGGAGCAAACTGGGAGACCAACTTTTAAAAGCCAAAACTGTAAATTACCAAGTATCCAGACGTAAAATTACATGACTGCAAAACATTCGGGATTGCCTATGTTATTAAGCCTGTGCTAAAGTGCTTTTCTGAATTGCTGCCTCATTTGATAAATTCAGGATAATTTTGATTTAAGGTAAGCTTCACAGTACGTTAGTTAATATTCTGTAGTCTTGTCTTTTTTTGCAAAAGTAGAGGAGTATAGTAATATTAGACAATACCAGAATGCACTTGTTCTTAAAATTGCAGACAATCTGAGGGAGATTTTCCATAATGTTTGTTTGAATTCTGTTATTGTAGGTTAGAAAAGGTTCTGCTGTGTTTTCAGAGGCATAGCTATTATTGCTGTGTTGATGGGAGCAATTATATTAAAATTACATGGTCACCAGTTATCTTCTTGGGCATCTATTTCTGTTCTGCTTCACTGTTAGAAATCCACAAGAACACCGCTAGCTTAACTGGAATTTCTCCAGGTTTTGTGTCAGCGTGATGGAGGAGGTGGGACTCTGGTTTCCACTGTAATTACGTAATTGGCTTTAGTAGATGAAGATTTTTCCTTGTTAAAAAGAACTGGGCTGCCTGTGATATAAAGCCATCACCATCCTCCTCCCCCCTCAACTTTGCTGCGTTACGCTTGGGTTTGTAACGACTCTACCAGAACATCCCACCAACTGCAGAAATGCAGCCTAAGTAGGAGCACTGGTGCTGACGCTTGTGGTTTGTGTAACGCAGAACTACCACTGGGCTGATGCTGTTTTGCCTTTGGTTAACCACGTGTCTGGCTATTCAACCTTTGTGCTGTAGGAGACGATTGTCCAGGCTGCTCGGTAGATAGGATGCACTATTTTTATTAATACTATTCAGGCTGTTGGAATGATAAAGCTGCTTAAAGATCTCTATCCTCAATGTATGACTGTGCAGAGGAGGTCTGCAGCAGGTTGCTCAAATGGAAAACCACCAGTTTAATTTGTTTTCATCATAGATGAGTACAAATTAAGAACCCAACCCTGAGGCTTCACAAAGTAACGAGCATTGCTCAAGATAAAGCCTCAGGTTCTCCAGATGACGGGCCCTATGCAGCCAGGGAACAACCATGTGGAGTAGTGGGTCGGTAACAGAGGCAGGACGGTCTAAAGGCAACAGAGGTGTTTGAATTGGCTGGCAAAAAGAGCAAAACAAGGGAAAAATGCCGCTGTTGTTTCCATCCAATAAAAAATCCAGGCTTACCAGTTCTTGGACTAACACTGGTTTCCCACAGTCTTTGCGTGGCAGCAGTGACAAGTGAGTCAGGCTTTTTCACACTAGCTTTGCAGCTTTTCCTTCCACAGCTGTGCAGAAAATCGTGGATTTTGGTTTTTTAGTGAATAGAGTCTATTTTGAGTTTGTAGCAGTCTCTCCACGTGCATACTTGCAGGAGTTCACTTGCATTACCCTGCTAGTTTTCTTTTCCTCTACCCTTTTTAGTGAGAGATGTATTGATTTCTGTATTCAGTATACAATTACTTTATGGTGTTGCAATTGTGTGTTTTGTAATTAGGAGTATGTGAAAATGCTTTGTGTAGATTAAAATACTTCCTTTAATATACTCTCTCGCTTTCATAGATAAACAGACACACTGTTGCAGATCACATTGCTGATTTTATTTGTAGTACTGCTTTAATATCGATTTCAGAGGAATGTAACCTCCAGAAAAGTACTTTCCACATCTTCGCTACCTTTCCTTTCTCTGTTCTCACTCTGTGTGGATCCAGACCATCAACACTGGAGCTTTTGGACAGATGGGTTTCAGATCCTCCGTGGATTCTGTCATGTTTACATGGCCACAGAAATTATGAAAGATTGTTGAAATTTGAGAGGATACAGGTATAAATGGAGATGTTAGAGTGATTCCTTAACAACACAAGCACGATAGCTTCTGTAGCAAGCAAAGGCTCCAAATCGTTCTCGCTGCGTGCGTGCAGGTGGCTGTTGGGGTCTGGTCCACCCCTGCTGCTGGGGCAGTTTTCCTGTGGAAATAAACAATCCACTGTAAGAAAACATCCTGTATCTGTGATGCAGAAGGAGGGTGAGGAGAGGTAGGGCTTGGGAGTAAAATGCTGGCCAGTGGTCCAGAATTTCACTCTTATGTTTTTGAATAGCAATCTGGGGAGATGTTTTCTCTTTCTCTCCACCTTTCTTACCCTGAGTCCACTGGGGCTGATGCTAGCAGATGCCTGTGGGCCGCATGAGCTCGTTAGCAGGTGACCTTGCCCAGCGTGCCATCAGTTTGCAGAGGGCTCCCAATGTGTTGGGAATTTTTTGTTGATGGCCTGGAAATCTCTTGAAACTCCAAAAATAGCTGAAACAGCAAATGGAGTTCATGAAAATCAGGTCTTCCTCTTCTGTCCTTTTTAAGGAAACCCACAGTTTTATTTCTTCCTTCGTTCTTTCCACAGTAGTTTTTAGATATAAATTATTTTAACATTTTTTGTGTGAAAAGTCATATATACATATATAAAGTTATTAAAAGGTTGGGTATGTGTTGAATATAAAATAGTGACTTCTTTGTTTCAGATGTTAGCAACCCTTAAAAATGAGTTGTTTATCCTCTTGTAAAGTCAGTGCTGTAAAAAAAAAAACCAAACTAAAAAGATGTATTAGATGTATCTTTTATTATTTATTTCTGATTCAGTATTCAATACAGCTTGTGTATACCCTTGTGAGAACCACATACTAAAATGTAGTCGTTCTTAAAATGGAGTAACAACAATTCCTTGGGATCCCAACAATTTTGAGAAAATTGACTCTCCGGCTGTGAATAGTGTTGGATATTCTCCTTCACTCTCCAGCGTCGCTCCCCACCTAAGCATGGCTGAATCTTGGGGACTATTTTGTGTATGTGCTAAGTTTCACAAGTTCATCAATACCTGTGTTCAAATCCAGCTGTACAGTGTTTATGAGTGTGTCTTGTGATTCGCTTCAGCCCGGTTCACTATGATTTCTGAAACAGCATTCCCATTTTGTACTTAAATTTGTATAGAATTATATAAACCCTTAAAAGATCATGTCTTACTGTAAAAACCAAAAATACTTGCTATTTGGCGTCTTCAATTGCATGACTGATCAGATCTGACCATGAAGATGGTGCTTTCATCTAACAGCATTGATTTCAATGGTAATATATTTGTTTTCATTTGCCAAGCACCTGTTTTGGACAATGTTTTGGTTTCAACAGTAAAGCAATATGCAGTAGGTATTGTGGCATTATCTCTGTAATTGTTTTGAAGACAGAATTGTCCCTTTCCAACACGGAATGAAAATAAATGCCTTATAACAAGTTCTATTTTGCTTTCTCTTTATGAGCGGATAGGGCAGCGAGGTAAGCAGCTCATCGGGGGGACCCTGTTTTCATGAGAATTTGGTTTTCACATGCTTCCCCAGGACAGTTGTTTGCAGTTGCTTTGGACCGTCTTACACCAGCAAGATTTGATTTGTTTTATCTTCTAAGGCTAATGGGAAGTTGGCTATTTTTATCTTTGTGTATAACATCGATAAACATCACTGGGATTCAGGCTACTGCTGTACTTCAGAATTTATTCCTAGCGTAGGCTTCTGGGCTGATTCTTCCTTCATCATCCTGGGCAGGGAATTCTTGATTGCTCAAAACCTAGCAGGATTTTTAATCGGGGCCCTACTTTGGCTAGTGCAGGAAAGATAGATACCTCACCCAGCAGCACTGAATTTTGCTAAGCAACAAGCCTGCTCAGCAAGGGCGCCCATGTAAGCCCTGCCTGGGGATCCGCGCTCGGTGTCGGCCCCAAGGCCAAGCCCTGCAGCGGTGAGTTGAGAGATGCCGCAGAGCAGAGGTACAGCTGGTCGGAGGGCCAGCATTTACCACCTGCGGAGGCATCAGTGCTCAGGCCTTCAACTCCATCTTTCCCTTTGAAAAAAGTCCTTGGGTCCCAGATGTTTGTGATTCCGTGATTATCCAGCTAAGACAGTATTTATAGTAGCTACATCAAGTCATGTTGTTTTTCCTCTTGTTGATTTCATAGCAGCAATAGCCAAGTTCTGTCTTGCTGCCGCCATCTTTTGTGGGAACACTAACTGCTTTGGAGATGGCTGCGTTTCTATGGTGCGTTGTTTGGTTTTGGGGGTTAGGTTGTTTTTTTTGGTTTGGTTTTTTATTATTGTTTTGGCTGGGGTGGGGTGGGTGGCTGAGGGTTTCTGTGGATTTGACATGTAGACCTGAGCTTGAAGAGGTTGTATGGGTGATGCTACTGGCAGAGATTCTGCCACAAAAAAAAAGAAAAAAAGGAGAAACTAAGTGCAATATTCAATTAAAATGAAGACCAGTATGTACAACATGACTTCTACAGCTAGATTAACTCCCTAATAATTGACATTTTAGTACTGTTTCCGTGGAAGAACTTTGGTTTCAATTCTGTCCCTATGCACATTTCCCTACGGTTAGCGAGAATGCGGTCTCCTCAGGGTGGGGCTGGGAGCCTTGCACCTCGCTCTGGTGCTCTTTCCCCAGCCAGGCTCTCGCCCCGCGCCCCGTCCCGGCTTCCGCCTGGTGCAGGGGCAGCTTTCGGGCTGTGCCCCGGCCTCGCCGCCTCGTCCTGCCGCTGTGTGGCTGCCCAGGGCTGGGGTGAGGGGCACTGCCCTCTCGGCAGAGGGGGGTGGCAGAGGACAGCTCCGGGCACCCACCACCTCCTGCACCACGGGGACCCCACACACCCACCTCCAGTGCACTTTGCTCTATGGGCCAATGGCGCTGACGTTTTCAGCAGAATGAAGGGATACGTTGCCTTAAAAGCCTGGCAGCCATTCCCTGAGCATCTCAGCTCTCCTGTGGGCTGCGGGTGATGGGAGACAACTGAGCTTCACACTGTGGGTAGGATACAGCCCTGGTGGTGGGATGCGCTTTTCCTCTCCTGCCAATACACACAGAAAGTCTAAAATCTTATGATTGGTGTTCAGAGAGTTTTGGGGCAAGCTTCCCCAGCCCAAGCACCACCCGTCCTCCAGCCGGCGTGTGGCCTGAAGCCGGCAGGATGAGGGAGGTTGCGCCTGTTAGCACTGTGCCAGCAGGCCACCATGGCTCCTGCCAGCCAGCGCACAGGAGCGGCGTCCCCTCAGGACCGGCCTTCACCTCTGGGGGAACGCAGACCAGTAGTTCCCCTCATGACTAGCCTATCTGTTACTTCGTTTTTTTAACCCACTCGTGCTTTGTCCAAAGAGCTTGACTTGGTCAAGCATTGCCCCAGTGTTTAAACTTCCAAACCAGTTTCTCTGTGGTCAACCCCATGTTCATCGATGAACTATGGATGTGACCCACGTCTCGCGGAGGCACCCGGGACAGCCAGCACGGGGCTGGGCTGTACGGCACCGCCGGGCCCCGGGCAGGCAGGGATTGCCCCGCAGCGCTCAGGACCTCAGGGAGGCATCCTCGATGCTGGGCCTCAGCGGGCAGCAGCGTTGGAGCCTGGCTGGGGGGGAAACGCCATCACAATCTGTCTGTGGCGAGGGGAGGCCTCCATTCCCCCTCCTCTCCGCCAGCACCGTGCATGCCCTGCAGCGTGCTGACGACCGAGACTGAAGCTGCCAAAACAAAGGAAGGAACCCACTGCAGTTTTATTTTTCCTTAGATAATTTTTTTATATAGAATATATTACAGTCAGAGTTCTCAGCTTTTAATCAAAAGATAACAAGTTATTGCAGTTTGTTTTTTTTTTTACCCAGTGAAACTACCGGTGGAAGGAGAACTTTCTAGAAAGCTATCTTGTCATTTAAAAAAAAGAGGGAAAAAACCCCCACCCGGACAGAAAATACATGTGTAGGTCGCGCTTCATGCCCACCGGTGCCCAGCCGGGCGGGTGGGCATCCGTGTGGACAGGGGAGCGTGAGGTGAAGAAGCAGCGATGGGCACAATACTACGGCAAGGGAGGCAGGCCTGGGCGCTAGTGAGGTTGGCTGTCTAGGCACGATGCTCTGCTCCGGCTTAATTGCTCTTAAATCGGGAAATGAAAACGCAGTGGGGAGGGAGGAGGGCAGCGGCGGCTTTCACCTGCGCGGGGAGGGCTGGGGCCCTCAGCCTCGCCTCAGCTCATGCAGCTTGTGGGCGACGCGCTCCAGCTCAGCCTCGATGGCGGCCAGGCTCTCCAGCTCCTGGTCCTGCAACAAAAGCCCAGGACATGCATCAGCCCCACGGCCACAGGTGGGCAGCCCTCGCCCCCCAGAGCTATATGAAGCCTTGCCTGGGGCTCACTGTCAGTGGTGGTGTATTGGGTTTGCGTGGCAAGGTTTTGGTAGCGGGGGGCTGCAGGGGTGGCTTCTGTGAGAAGCTGCCAGAAGCTTCCCCTGTGTC